ATGGAGATTTACTATTACACATCCCACTCTGGGTGGCTGGCTTGCTATGATACATTGTTTGATACATTGGAGAAAGCTGAATTTTACAGCAAGACAGGAGGCTTCATATAAACATATTTCATTGTTTACTGACACCTCCAACAGCAAAGAAACTCTTAAAGGGACAATATAGGCACCCAGACCACTTAAGCTTATTGAAGTGACCGGGGCGCAGTGTCCCTGTCCCCCTTAGTCCTGCAATATAAATCATTGCAGTTTTAGAGAAACTGCAATGATTACATTGCAGCACTAAAACTGCATCTAGTGGCTGTCAATCAGACAGTCACTAGAGGCACTTCCTGCTTGCTAGGAATATTTTATTAATAGTGTTGATCTGATTTGTACCTTGTGGGGCTGTAGCTGGACTGCTTCTGGGGTTTGCTGCTTCTTGCTTGCTTTCCCCCCGACAACACAGGCCTATTGAGGTTCCATGACCACTTGGCTTTCCCTGGTGCCCCTTCTCCTGACTGTGGGGCTTCCTTATCCTCTTGCTCCTCTTTTGGCTGACCTGCCCTTTTCCCTATTTTCCTGCTGGGATAACTGTGCTGTAAGCCTCCAGCTCCTCTTTTTTTCTCTGTTTGGTTTTCTCCTATTTCTACTGGCTTTGTGTTACTGATGTATGTGCTGCGTACTGCTTCCATTGCAATGTCTGAGTTGGTGATCCCCACCCTATATAGTTAGAGCTTGCTTTACAATCCTTTGGGCTAATTTTGGGCTCAACCTCCTTTGGTTACTCCAGCCTCCTTATTATTCTGGGCTCAACCTGCCCTAATCCAAAGGATGACTCACCTGCCTGCAGCCGGAAGCTGTCACTTATTTGCCCCAGCCAGAACCATTTTTTCCATGAGGATGACCCCCTCTAATTGTCATGGGCTTCCATACATAATCCCTGCCTGGTTGGTGACCCCCAGCTGTGTGTCCAGGTCCCCCGTTTTTTTCTGTGCCATGTTTGGACACTAATCATCCTGTTCTGCGTCTATTTGCTGTCTATTACCAGGCTCCATTATGTATGAGGACACAGAATTCCCTGAGAGTATCAATGTGTTGGCTGTGGTACAAGGGGCCTCTAAAAAATACTGGCACTAACTTGGTGGCTTGAATGTCACCTCAGATTCAGAAGGGTCACTACACTGAGGCAACGCCCCTTCTTTTATTCTTGTTTAGACTTGCTCAAACTTGACTATGTGGTGCTGGACTCCTATTGTGCCCTGGCAATTCTGAGGAGCGTCCCTGGTTGGAGAAGCAGTCACTGGCTCTCCCTGCTCATTCTATGTGCGGTAGAGGGTGGTGGGTGAAACCCATTCTGAGCACTGACTATGACTGATGATCCGGGAACCCTTTGGCCTACCGCTGACTGACCCATGAACCACCAAGCACCCATGTTTAGCAGAGTGGTTTTCACAAGGTCATATCTCTGAATTTCTTTGCTATTGTATCTTTTTCCTATGGATAAAGAGGTTGCGCCCCGTGAATTGCTCTTCAGAGATAAATTTATGAAGGAGCTTAATCAACATGTCTCCATTTACACCTCTCTCAATAAGACGCAGATATCCCTGTTTGGGTCTGGAGACCATTTTTCTTCCAGGGCTGGCAGGCAGCAGGGTCATGTCACCAGCAAATCAGCCTTCCCTGGCACAAGGCCTCATCTCTCCGACTCCACATACACATTGGCTTACTGTTTTTTCAAGAGAAGTCCTATCAGACCATTAACATTTTTCATTCGGCCAACTCTGTGGCTCACTTCACTTGGCAGGGTTCAGGCGTTGGTAGATATACCGTAATCTAGACCTACTCCTTTGTGTTGTGCTCTGTTTTTGGGATGTTTCCCAAGTACTTTCTTTTTTGGAGGTGTGACCGGACAATGATCTGCTGTCACTGCACCAATTGTCTGTCAAGCTGGGGCTTCTTTTTTGACTATTTTTTTTAATGGGTGTCTGATGTTCAGGCTTTCAGTGTTTATTCCTTTACTTGCTCTCTGGAGGGTGTTTCCTTTTCAATTTCTTGTAGGATTAAGTTAAATTCTTCTGCAGTGTTTTATCCCTATATTCCAGACGACCTTGTCTCAGGGTGGCATTAATATTTCAACGTGACGGCTACTCTCCGTCCTTCACCTAGAGGTCAAGTGTTGATTTCCTATGTTCCCCCTTCAAAACCGGCTTCCACTGTAACCTGATGGATTCCCTGGATTCTGCATCGTGCTGGGGTGGAAGGTTTCTTCGGTGCTCATTTGGTTAGAGGTATTGCCACCTTGGCAGTTTTGAAATTAGGTGGTGCTTTGTCTAACATCTTCTCAGCAGTGCATAGTTCCTGTGAGTCTACATTTTGCATGTTTTATTTTTGTCCTTGTTCATATGCATTGTTTGCTTTTCTTTCCTGGTGTTACAATTGCAAATATGAAGCCTCTTGTCCTTCTGTAAAATCAAGGATTACTCTAGCCTTGCTGTCTGAATAATTAAAAATAGGAAAAATCTGAGACCGGAGGCAAATATTCTCACTCTCTCCTCTTTTCTTATGTGTTCCAATTTTGTTGTCATGTCTTTTTGGAATGCAATTTACTTTTTTTTTTTTCATATTCTTTATTAAGTTTTTAGTCTTATTTATACAACATATACCATATCACTTACAGAATAAACATATATTTACAAGGGTACAACTAAATTATGTTTTCTTTTTCTGCCAAGGAAGGGGAGATCAGAGGCACAGCCTTGAAGTAAACTCCTTAACACGGTGAACTTTTTTTTAGCCATTGATCCCATATATCATATATATATATTTTTTTATTCTTTATTTTATTGTGCACAGAATGAAACAAGTATCCCTGATGTGCCACAGCAGCGTTTTCAGGGTAGATTGGTAAACATTTGCATTATGCGTTGTGGCAATTTCTGTACAGGCACATTTTATATTAATGAAGTCAACATTATAACAGCGTTCAAGAGTTGTTTGTGTAGTTTAGGAGATAATGTGGCATATAAGCATGGCTATATATATGTAGCTTTCAGATATCGTGTGGAAATCCCTGAACTGTCTAAGGTAAGGTATGAGATATACTAGGCATATAGGCGTTATCAGATGGCATAGCATTACCAACGGGCAAACGTGTATTAAGTACTGCATTTACACAGTGTTCTGCTTGAGCAGTAAACAGTAATGGTGGAATGCATAACTAAGTGTGCTCTATAGGTAAGTCATCTCCCCTGCGGCTTAGCAAAGAACGTTTTCGTGTTCCTCGACTAGCTTGGATGATTTATATTTTTATAAGTTCTGTGTTTAGGCAGTTTATGTAGAAACGGTATCGGTTCTCCCGCAATACCACGGCAGTTAAAGCAGACACATTCACTGGTACAGTAAGTTAGTCATAAGGCACTGTGCGAGTACTGCACTTGTTTTATGGTTTGATGTGTTCCGGTTGGTCACCGTAGATCTTAGTATCAGGAGAGTAATATATGAGGGCTTGCGTGCCTGTATGGTGTAGCTGCCTGGAAGCGGTGGTATAATGGGTAAGTAAGATTAGTGGTCAGCTCGGCACTTGTGAAGCAGGGTGATAGAGGTACTCTGTACCTTTAGGTAGCTTATAGGAGTGTGTCCCCGGGAAACCACTTTATGTGTGGTCTAGTAGGAGGGGAAGTTAGATTGCTCAAGTGATTCTACAAAGACGCAGTGGAGTGCGTCTATGCGTGTTGTGTGCCGTTGTGGTCTAAGTGCTGTGAGAAGGGCTCTATAACCCCAAGCTCATGGGGGGGGGGGTGCGGACCAGAGGGTCTTTTTTAATCTGCTTGTCGTGTTGTGGCAATGCTCTAAGTGGCTTAGTGTGGGTGCGATGGGAGGAGGTGTTACTGCAATAGGGATCTAGCTAGGGGTGTGGGGCGTGAGGTGTGTGATCTGCAATAGAGGTTGTCAGGTCGAGTGTATAGCTTCACCCAATCATAAGGCGGTCTACCTCTTTCGGTGGCTAGGGGGTGTTGCCTGAGTGCTGATTAATGCATCTCTTAGTGAATTGCGTGAGAATAGATTGAATGAGAGTTAAAAGAATTATAGTAGAGCTAAAATAAAGTCTAGGTAATAAGAAAGTGTGGAACAGGTTTGGTTAGCATAAGAGTCCTCTTGCTAGTGGTCAAAGACGGTACGTCTAAAGTCCCCTGGTTCAGGTCTCTTACTAATGTCCCAACTCCTCAGGTGATCGTAGGGAGCTTGCCTGTGCTCTGCGATCCAGTGGAGGTGGTTGGTCCTGTGGCAGATCCAGCTGGTTGGAACAGTTTTAGTTTGGACAGGTACCAGGTATTTGAGGCCTTCAGGGGGCAGTATATTGGTCCCCTGTGCTGAGTTAGGTGGTAGTCCCAGTGCTGTGAGTACAGTGTCCATTTCCGCTGGCTCGTGTATGCGGATAGTTGTGCTTCCTTGGGAGATGGCTAGGCCCCGAGGGAATACCCAGCGGTACGGAATGGAATGTTGGCGCAGCTTGCTGGTCAGTGGTCTGAACAGGTTACGCCATATAAAGGTGGGTCTGGGCAGGTCCTGATAGAATGTTAAGTAGGCATTTTCAAACTAGTAGGTTGGCAGTCCCCTCACTGCTGACATGAAGGCTAGTTGTGCTGACCTTGTTTGAAGCTGACGGATGACATCTCTTGGGGACCCTGTCGGGGCTCTGAGTACTTTTGGGATGCGATATACCCCATTGGTTATGGCTTGTTTTGCTTGTTTTGAGGTAAGTACTGTGGTCAGGTGCCTCCTTACGTAGTGTGGTAGTTCATCCTGGAGCACCGTCTCTGGGATTCCCCTGATTTTTATGTTCTGGCTCCTATGCCGATCTTCCATGGCATCTAGGCGGTTTGTGAGTATTGTATGCACTTGTTGAAGCTCTTTGTTTTGTGCTTCTATCGTTAGGTAACTTGCTTTAAGGCACTGCGTGTCCTCTTCCACTTTCCTAACTCGGCCATGCACGTGGTGTAACTCCTCCTGCGCTATAGCGAGGTGCGCCGTGAACATTGTGCGGATGTTTCAGAGTAGCGCCTTAATATCTCCTTTTGTGGAGGGTAACTCATTGTCCTCATCTGAGGAGTGCCTGTGTCTGGGAACTCATCCAGCTCGTCCAGGGCTTGTTCTTCAGAGAAGGCAGAGTTTGAGTCGCCATTTTCTTTCGGCGCAGGTACTCCCAAGGCCTTAGCTGTACGGAGGAAAAGGTCTCCTATATCGCGGGCCCCCGTTAGTTTGATGGGTCCCTGATGTTTGGACTTCTTTCCCATCGTGGAATAGCTAGTTCTGGGTTGTAGGTAGTTGAAATTAATTGCTTAAAAATGCTTTTTCAGGCTTAGTGTGGAGGAGCTCGCCTTACACACATCTGGTCTGCACAGCTGTTAGCTCCGCCCCCCATATATCATATTTTAAGAGGTTAAGACTGACATCTCTTTCCATTTGAATTTGGTTTAATAATTGAGTATATGCTTTCTGCCATATCGAGCTGCTAGTGGATTTCCAATTTTGTGCTATTATCAATTTTATCGCTAATAGCATATGGATAAGCAGCATTTTGTCTTTTAAAGGTATAATTGGCTAATTCATATGTAATAGAGCTTCTGTTGGAGACCAATTTATTTTAACCTTAGTTATTTTTGTAAACCAATAAAGAGATTTGTTCCAGAAATCTTTAACCACATCGCATTCCCACCATATATGTAGGTAAGTACTTTTTTCTCTATTTCATCTCCAGCATATTTCAGTTTCAGAGGGGGAGATTTTTGCAGATTTTGTGGGAACCCAATACCATCTATTCACAATTTTATAATGCATCTCCAAAAGATTTAGACAATGGACTGATGGTGAGGAACTAATCAGTGTTCTATTCCAATCTTCTGCATCAATATTTAATCCTAAATCTTTTTCCCAATTAGATATAGCAGGGATTTTTGTATATTGCCTTGTTTGTGACCATTATTTTAAATTTTTGAGTAGTTCAATATTTTTTATATATTTGAGATTAGAAAGGAATCTTGGTAAATAAGATATTTATTTAAAATATTCTTTACTCTAAGATAGTTAAAAATTTGAGAATTGGGAAGATTAAATTGTATCTATGAATAAGAAAAAAGGTGGTTTAGGATTCCCAAATATAAAAAATATTTACCTAGCTAGTTTATTGACCTATATATACCGTTTACAAACCAATTCCCCAGAATTTGAGGCATGGCAAGACATTGAACGGTTTATGTTAGGTCATGAGAATTTAACCTTCATTGTATGGAATGTTAAAGAAAAACAACTAATTACTATCTTAAAACAGCAAAGTACACTTTTAAGCCAAATAATACAATCATGGATAAATATTAAAAAGCCATTAGGAATATTGCCAAAACTAGAGGAATTATCCTATCGCTCGGCCTGACTAGAACTCCTCTGACCTCCCGAGCTCTCAGGGATCACGTAGAACGTCTCCAGCTTTCCTCAGGCTGCCGACGGTCATCCTGGATCGCGCGCATGCGGGATCCAGGCGGTCCGTTGGTAGTTTCCTTCTTTGCTTACGAAGCTTGCTTTTTTCTCATCACCCCTTTCTGTTATTAAGGATGGACATGGCCCGAGGTTGTATACTATTCCATCTACCATCGGTCTGGTTTATTACCAGTTGACTCCATCTCTCAGATGAGCGATTTAGAGACAGGTCTCGGGGTCGGGGAAACCCGCCTCAGGATCTCAGTCTTATGCTGATATTATAAATGGGGTACCCCTGCAGTTGGTCACCCTGAGTCTCTAAGGGACTCTAGTTTGGATTACAGGAGGGTGCGGCCCTCCATCGTCTCGGCCCGAGACTGATATTTTTTATTTTAACGAGCAGAGAGCAAACCCCTCTCATATACTGTACCGGACACTGATTCATTATTAGAGGGCGCGACCCTCCTTCACCCTCAACCCCACACTGAGCTGGATACAGAGGATATGTTTTGAGTGACACATCCTCATAGAGGGACCGGACATGGATGTAAGCTCAAAGGTTTGGTTATTATGGGTGCGGCCCGCTCATGCCATCAGCCAGACCCTGAGACAGAGTTCAGTCACATTAGTAGAGAGTGCGACTCTCTCATACACTCAACGCACTACGGTGTCGTCTATTTATTCATCACACAAGCTTCTACCTGTACGGGACAACGATGATTGCATAGAGGGGCGTCCCTCCTGCATTATTATTATTATGATATTTATAGAGCGCCGTCAAATTCCGCAGCGCTTTATCCATGGGTGGACAAACAGACATGTATTTGTAACCAGACAAGTTGGACACACAGGAACAGAGGGGTTGAGGGCCCTGCTCAATGAGCTTACATGCTAGAGGGAGTGGGGTAAAATGACACAAAAAGGTAAGGATAGTATTAGACTAATGACAGTTGCAGAAGAGGAATCAGTCAGGAGCTATTAACAGTTTAATGGATACGCTTTTATGAAGAAGTGGGTTTTTAACGATTTTTTGAAGGAGTGGAGACTGGGTGAGCATCTAACGGAGGAGGGAAGCGAGTTCCACAGGAACGGTGCAGCCCTCGAGAAATCTTGAAGGCGAGCATCAGAGGTGGGAGTACGGACAGAAGATAGACGTAAGTCTTCAGCAGATCGTAAGGGCCTAGACGGGACATACTTGTGTATAAGGGAGGATAGATAGGTGGGAGCAGCATTATGTAGAGATTTGAAAGCAAGAACCAGAATTTTAAATTGAGCTCTATATTTTATAGGAAGCCAATGTAGGGACTGACAGAAGGGTGAGGCATGGGAGGTGCGGGCGGACAGGAAGATGAGCCTCGCCGCCGCATTCATTATGGACTGTAACGGCGCAAGTTGGGAGCACGTAAGACCACTGAGAAGCGGATTACAGTAGTCAAGGAGAGAAAGGACAGTGGAATGGACCAACACCTTAGTCGCATCTGGCGTTAAGTAGGGGCGGATGCGCGCAATGTTTTTGAGATGGAAATGACAGGATTTGGTGATAGATTGAACATGAGGCTTGAAGGAGAGGTCGGAGTCAAAGAGAACACCTAGGCAGCGAGCCTACGTGGTGGAGCTGATGGTAGCACCGTTGACTTGGAGTGAGACAGACACAGGAGTAACAACACTTGAGGGAGGAAAGACCAGAATTTCAGTTTTGGTCAAATTTAGTTTAAGGAAGTGGTCAGCCATCCAGTTAGAAACAGCAGAGAGGCAGTCAGAGACACTAGTCAAGAGGGACGGGGAGAGATCAGGAGAGGACAGGTAGATTGGCGTGTCATCTGCATAGAAATGATATTGGAAGCCAAAGGAGCTAATGAGTTTACCAAGGGAGGCAGTATAGATGTAGAACAGTAGGGGACCAAGGACTGAACCTTGGGGGACACCAACAGAGAGGAGTTGGGGAGAAGAAGCAGAGCTAGAGAAAGAAACACTGAAAGAGAGCTGGGAAAGGTAGGAGGAGCACCAGGAGAGAGCAGTATCAATTAGATCTAACGACCGTGCTACCGACTTCGTTATAGAGGGCTGCCTGGGTATATTTATTTAGACTGGATCCTGCTATTTCACCTCCTATAATGGAGCTACTGGTTCCGGACCTCTGTATCCCATGTGGGAAATACTCACAGTGGTATTACGGGGGGAGATTCCCCGCTTATTTACACACACTCCTGGAGACAGTATGGCTAATGGATGAGCCCCAGGTATTACAAGAGTGCAGGTTTTGGTATAATCTGCTCTATATCAAACAGGCAACTGTTTAAGATATTCAGACCATTGCGAACAAACTGACGTTTTTTTTCCCATGTCAAGGTGACAGGAGATCCTGAGGCCTTCATAGAGCAAACGGGCACTGCCCTGCTTGGGTAACAAGACTAGGGAAGGCCCACTACCCGGTCTGCAGGTACACCGTGCGCATGGATCGCATGGAAAGACCAGAACCCCGGTTGATATAGGTTCCCTGGTCATTACTATCTTGGGATAAGATGACAGGACTACCCCTGCTCTTCTGAGCACATATCTGGAGAACATGGTTCGGATATGAAGGGCCCTCCTTCTATGCTCTATATACCTCACGGGAAACGTCTTGGTTTGGGTTCTAGCTAATCCACCTTTTTAACTTCCATCAAGGAGACCTACGGTGGACTCTATGGAGGAACCCATAGTACCTCCACAAAAGTACCCCCGCCCCCCCTTTTTTGGTATATAATGGCATGCACGGACGTCAAAGTCGGGACGCAACTTACCACTGGAGTACTGCTCAGGAGGGTAGCAGACTCAGATAGGACTGCTGACATTTTCAAATGGAACAACACCTGCTTTGGACAGTTGAAGCTAGACCCTTGTTTTTTTCGTTATATCTGCTCTCTGGAGTCACCTGTCGTGACTTTATGTCTTGCCTGCGTATTAGAGAACGCTATGTGTTAGCGGGACTCCAAGCTAAGAAGGGAGATATCCCTCTATAGGGAGGCCTTCACTTCGACTCTCGGATTCATACTCCTGGGTCCCTTGACCTAGGGCCTACGCAGGGAGATACGTGCCCGGACAGTCAGGGGTGCAGGGACCTACGGGCTCAATATATTATATAGTATACCCTATCTTGTAGGTAGCGTGTAGACCAGGAACCCCTACACGAGTTTTTGACAGGTCGGGCATGGAACAGGATCGTACGAATGGGTAATCAGAATATTTCACTCTCTCACTACAGCACGTGAAGACTCTTATTGGTTATACCGGTCCAATCACCTTTGGATCCGGACATCATATCACTCTTAGACGATGATATATCTGGATGGAAATCTCAACCCCTGTTTACGTTCCCATCCTTTTGAATATTTCCAGGATTCACAATCACCAGATTAGTCGACCACCGTTTCACCACACAAGTTCAGTTTGGGACCTTGATTGGACGTCCTTTAGGAGTCTCTTCTCTCCCGCAACCGTGGATTACACAGTCCATTTGGAAGACTGGAATCACTTAGGATACGGCTAGTTTGACCACACTCTTGCCTGCATAATAAATTTACTCTCAGATGAGACAACTCATTGGGTAGGTCATGAGGGAACAAGAGAACCTACTCGGTTCTATTATGGAAGTGGTGGTGGACTTAGGCACATTCTTTGAGGTTGGAGGTTTACCTGCAAGGCCACATCGCCTGGTGACCCTGGCATGATCAGAGGAGCCACCTTCGACATGAAGAGTTGAGACATGGTGGCAGTTTCTTCTTGCGGCCCTAAGTCCGCAAATGACCTTCGGCATTCTACACCTACATGAAAATGCCTG